TTCTTTCACTCATTTGTTTCTAACGCATTTATAAGATTATTTCTTTGTTGCTTTGTATGTCCCTCCCCCACAGTATAACCCCTGCTTTCACTGTATTTGATGTCAGTATAATTTGTGGAGGGGAGGGGGAAAAACAAGTCGTTTAAACAAGGATACAGGTGGACCCATTGCATGTTGAAAACGAACTTTACAACTTTGGTGTGGGGGGAGGATTGGGGGGGCGGGGGGAGCTTGGGAAGAGATGTGAAGGGCAAACAAAGGAGGCAGCTACAATGCTTGATAGGAAATGTACTCATTATCTTGCCCATGTAATTGTAACCCCTCTGTACAGTATGTTCACAATAAAAAAATAAAATAAATAAATAAACCTTTGGCTGAGAGGTAATGGATACGCCTAGTGTTTCAACAGGGCATTTAAATGCAAATTAAAGTCTCTTTAGGTAAAGGGATTAAAAATGGCATCCCTATTGTAAATATTTGGGAAGGGGTAAAAGAGTGGCTGGCCTCCCCAACAATGTTTACAATTAAAATTGTCCTAAAAGTTTCTTTAAAAATCCAAAAAGGTAAATTAGGATTTCCAAAATGATTGCTTAATTGCTATTCCAGTTTCCCTTATAGGTTTTTTGTAAGTTTCCAGCAGGCCCACAAGTTTGTCAGATGTTGGCACTTAATAAGGTCCAGATAAAGGGCTGGGAAGGTGGCTCAGTGGTAGAATGCTTGCCTCTAGTGCATGAGACCCTGGGTTCGATTCCTCAGTACCACATGAGCAGAAAAAAGCTAGAAATGGTGCTGTAGCTCAAGTGGTAGAGCACTAGCCTTGAGCTCAAGAGCTGAGGAACAGCATTCAGGCCAAAACTTCAAGCCCTATGACCAAGAAAAAGGTTCCAGGTTAGACGATGCTTATAAAACTACTTACAGTGACCATCTTTGTTGCTTTTAATTGGAGTAAAGTGGCCATTTGTATAAGACTCATTGATCTTAAAACTTGTTCGAAGCCAGCCCAGGCAGAGAAAGGTCCCTGAGAGGTTGGCATTGCTACTCTACCAGCAAAGTGATGGAAAATCAGAGTTGCTTTAGAGCTCAAAGTGGCAGAGTCTAGCCTTGAGCTGAAAAACTCAGGGATAGCACTAAAACCCTGAATTCAAGTCCAGCAACAGACCAAGGAAAATACCAAGGGTGCATTTATTCCAGCATGGAGAAAGGCACTGCTGGGACCCTGGAAAATGATGGAGCATCCTGAGGCAGTAAGCCATTGCTTGGATGGCAGAGGTGGTATAAGATCCTAGAATCATTTGTGCATGGCCCTTCAAAAATTGGTCAGAGCCAGGAGATCATGGAAGATAGTTTGTAGGCATGCCTAATGTCCATGACTATTTACCTTGTAAAGGGACAAGAACTTGCTAGTCATCTGTGATAGTAGTAAAAAGTTAAGGTTGTAAAATGTGGGGGATAGTTTAAAATCCCAACTCCCCTATATTTGCTAAAAGCTCTAATTGGCAGTAACTTTTGGGCTGGCAGCAGCCACCTAAATTCATCTATTCAGGAAAGAAAGTTGTGGACCTGAGATTGTGTCCATATTGGGATCTATCTAAAGGCTTACACAGGTAACTTAGGCATGGGTAGGGTCACTGGAGATCACATTACTAAGTCAGCCAGAAGGATGCTTTTGCAAACTAGTATGCTAAACAAGCTACACTACTATAGCCAGAGAAAAGGTCTGTGCATTTGTCAAAGGTTAAATGTTGTTTGGAGTAAAATATTGCTCCTAATAACATATTGTCTTGGCAACACATTGGTAAAATAGGTTAAGGTTATAGGTTCCTGACTAGGTAGTCTCAATGCCCCTGAGTCAGCTTGAAGAAGTTACAGAAGATGAATCTGCACCCATCAATGCCCTTAAGATCAAGGGACCAGAGTCATTTTAAAAATGAAGCAGGAAATCAGGGCTTATACCATGGGGGATGGACATAAAAAGCAACAAAAAAATCACCTTATAAATATGTTAGAAACAGTAGCAAGAAAGAAAAACCCCTTGAGCCCTTATCTGGTGGTTCATTTTGCCTAACATCAACTTATCTGACCTTTTCTGCTTGTCTCAGACATATACTAGTTATTGCACATAAGGGAAAACATGGGACCTATGTTTCTTTGGGCGTGGCTTACTTCATTTAATGTAAGTTTTTCCAAGTCTTTCCATTTCCTAACAAATGGGGCAATGTCATTCTTTATGCTGGCATAATTTGGGGAAGTAAAGGGAAAAAAAACAAATTGTTTAAATAGGGATACAGGTGGACCTATTGTAACAATAAGATGTACAAGATACTATGTCAAGCCAGGTGCTGGTGGCTCACGCCTGTAATCCTAGTTACTCAAGAGGCTGAGATCTGACGATCACGGTTCAAAGCCAGCCCAGGCTGGAAAGTCCGTGTAACTCTTATCTCCAATAAACCATTCGAAAACTGGAAGTAGTGTTGTAACTCAAGTGGTAGAGCACACCCCTTGAGCAGAAGAGCATAAAGATAGCACCTAAGTGCAGAGTTCAAGCCCCATGACCCACCAAAAAAAAAAAAGATGCTATATCAAAAAATAACAAAAAATAAAAAAAGAACTTTACAACTTTGGCTGGGGGAGGAGGGAGGAGAGGGTGTAGTCTGGGGGATGGAAGGGCAGGGATGATAAGGGGAAAACAAAAGAGGAGGCAACAATGCTTGATAAGAAATGTACTCATTAACTTGCTCATGTAATTGTAACCCCTCTATATGGTATTTTTACAATGAAAAAAATTAAAAGAATGAGGCAGGATAAATTAAAAAGAGGCATGGAAACAAGCCCAAGCCCTCTGTGTCCACCTAGAAAAACCTAGCCTTATTTAATAAAATCTCTGGTTATTAAAATGTTGTCACCTTGGTAAATTACCAAGGAGGAGCTACTGCCTAAATTGCCTTAAAAATCAATGGGGCTCCAGCCTGCAAGAGCCAGTGTACAACCAGGAAGGTAGTGGGAAATTTCACTAAAGTCAAACCTTAGGTTAAGCTTCTTTAACTAGTTTGTGCAGAAATGGCACATACCTCAGTATGAGGTGTGACAATCCACCATAGCTGCTGAAAGACATTGATGCTGCTTTCCAGCTTATCTGTTCTAATCTGTTTGAGTAAAGTTCAAAAACAGCCTGGCATCATCCAGTGGAGACTACAGCATCATCCTGACCATATCCACTGTGGTCAGTGTAGACTGGACTCCTTGCCTGACTCCACCACCTTCAGCTGATACCTGGTGAATGACTGCTTTGGATATGCTTAACCTAGGAGTTTGCTTGAGGGACATTCTTTTGTGGGACACAGATCTGTAAATCATACCCTGCCTGACATGGGATGGAAGTTCAAAGTCTCCTGACTATATGGGTAACAATCATATGGAGCCAAGTTTTAATTGCTGGAGACTCCATAAATTAAAGTAGTAAATGGCCTAGGAAAAATTTCAGTCTTTTTACAGAGAAATAAATGATTTGATCTCATGTACATAAAAATAAAAGGAGGAAATGAAGTAAGGCGGCCAGGTCTGGCCGGCACCATATTGGCCACATGTTGGATAGTAGGGTCTAGCATCTTGTCCTCATGCTGGGTGAATGAAACACCCTCCCCCCATCACCTGCCTCCCAGGTAATGGGCATGCCTGGACCCCTGGAGGCAGGGACAGGCACTTGGTTGAAAGGTTACTGAAACTGTCAGTCTAGTGCCTGGGACTTGGAATTTCCTGAGAATCTGCCCCTGCACTGACCTATTTAGGCCCAGACCAACCTAGCTGCCAGGACTCCATGCCACATGTATCTCTGCGATCAATTCCTGTGTTCTGTCTCCTGGCTCGGCTCCAGTCATCATGGAGTCCCAATTCAGCTCTCCATTGGAGCTGAATTGCTTGTTGGAATTGTTTTGAGTTCCTCCCTCTATGGCATACTTCCTAGCTGTGTTATGTGTATTCGCATGCTGTAGGCCTTTGTAACAACTGGTGGCCTGAAGCTTGTTAACTGTAAAATAAAAACTCCAATATTCTATATTTTAAAATGTGACTTCTGGGATGATTTACCTTACAACATAAGAACTTTTGTAAGACTACAAATTACAATGCCATCCTGTTGGAAGATAGGATCTACACATACTACTGTGTGTAGAGATAAGCATTTGAATCAATAAAGTCATGAGATTTGCAGTTAATCATTTGTAATACACATATACCTACCCAAATATTTCTGGCCTTTTTGCAGGACCAACTTAAAGAAATACCAATTGCTTCTCACCCTGGTGCTTGCAGTGGAGGAGATCAACAAGAATCCCCATCTGCTACCCAACATGACTCTGGGGTTTGAGATCTATAGTGCTCATTACAGAGATACTGATCTATTAGAGGATGTACTCATCTGGCTGTCTGGAAAGAATAAAAACAGCCCTAATTACACCTGCAAAAGAGACAGCAAAGCTTTAGCAGTACTCACAGGAACCTCAAGCACATCTGTCCCAATTGGGACACTGCTGGACCTCTACAAACTTCCACAGGTGAGGCTGGGAGGGGTGGACAGATGTGAACCATGTCCACATTGACTCTTTCCTCCACAGGCTGAAGAAGACGTGCTATCACAAGCCCTTCCAAACCTGTGATCTCACCGGGAAAAGACAAAAATAGTGGGTGGGACATACACATTTTCTTTGCTGCAAAAATAAATAAATAAAAGAAGAGGTTGTAAGAGACCAAAGGATGATCCAAAGCTCTGAGCCTTATCCATACATTTCTGCAATGAGCTTGGAACTTGGGAGATGACTTTCCAAATGTGATAAGCGAACTCCCCTCCTCCCCCCAAATGCTAGTTTTTCTTTAGTTTACATCAGGATAGAGCCTTACCTATGACCATCCTCTTCCTGGTGCTGTGTTCATTTTTTCTCTCTAGTTCACCTTTGGATCTTTTGATCCTCTCCTGAGTGACCATGGAAAGTTTGGTACTATCTATCAGATGGCTGCCAAGGACTCAGCTCTGGCCCTGGCTATGGTCTCTTTGATGCTTCATTTCAGTTGGACCTGGGTGGGACTGTTCATCACTGAAGGTGACTATGGTGTGTGGTTCCTCTCAGAATTGAGAGAAGAGATGGACAAGAATGGAGTCTGTTTGGCCTTTGAGAACATGATCACTTATCATACCTTTTCAGATTTATCAAATGATCTATCCATACCTCGCCAGCTAATGGAATCATCAACCAATGTGATTATCATTTATGGGGACAGTAAATTTCTACTAAGCTTTATTCTTAAATTAGGGCACTTTTTAATTACAGGGAAAGTCTGGGTCATGAACTCACCCTATGATGATGTGAACATTGGTAAAAGATATTTTCTGCTTGATTCTTTCCATGCACCTCTCATCTTTTCTCACCATCATAGAAACACTTCTGGGTTCACCAATTTTATTCTAACAGAGACCTTGTCCAAGAACTCAGGAGATAATTCCCTTCCCAGGTCATGGATTCAGTCTGTTTATTGCCTACTGATTAAGTCTGATTGCAGAGACTTGGGGCACTGCTCATACAACGCTACACTGGATTGGTTGCTGAGGCATATTTTTGACATGACCATGTCAGAAGAGAGTTACAACATCTACAATGCCATGTATGCCTTGGCCCACGCCCACCACCAAATGATTCTTCATCACATGGAAGAGCTACCAGTGCACATTGCACAACCAAGGGCATTTCTCTCTTCACAGGTAATGGCTTTGCTTTTGGGTGACCTACTCTAGGCATGCAGACATTTCTATAGAAGCTTTCATAGCAGATGGAACTAGGTCATCTAGCTCCATTTTGGAAAATACAAGAGACTACAGGCCTGTCATGCTTACAATGAAATGACTGTAGAGCTGTGAACACAGTGTTCTTGAAGAACACTGCATCCTTGACAAGCAAGTGCTGTATCTTCTATCCCCACTCTCACTATGTGTGGAAAAAGCTGTCCCCTTTTTAGTTGCATATAGCCAAATTGTACTTCTACCTTTTAAAAATAACAGATCACGGTGAGTAGTTCTTGAAAACCTAATAATGTCTGGAAACACGTGGCTCACTTCTGGTTACAGTTAACCACAATAAAGCCAGAGGGGGAGCTGTGGCTCAATTGATAGAATGCTTAGTTTGAAAAAAAAATAAACTACCTCAAGTTGGTTGCCTAGGCCCTTAGGTGGAGCCACAGGACAGGACACACACACACACACACACACACACACACACACACACACACACACACACATACACACACACACACACACACTGAACTAAGTCTTCCTTAAGGTAATTTTTCTTGTCATAAATACTCTATGATTCTACTTAGTTTATTATTTGCCTATTTTTCAGACTGGCTCTCTGATCACAATTATAAAATAAATGATTGGAATGCACTTTAGAGAGGCCGTTGAGGTCTGTCACAATATATTTCATTATTTGGATGGATGTGGCTGGAATTTCATTCCCTTGAAATTGAATTTCTGCATTCCATCCTGGATAACCAGGTTTAAGAACTTGGTAACACTTTAGTCCTCTGTGGGCCTGCATTTGACACAGTTGGTTGGATTCCTGTAGTGTGTGTGAATCATGTGGTGGGAATGAAGGTTAATCTTTCTGAATCCATTATTCTGGGGTTCTGTGTTAACTCTGGAAAGCACTTCACCATACTGTAATGTGTCCCTTTTAGCTGCATCCCTTTTTGAAGAAGATCCAATTTACCAATCCTGTTGGAGACCAAGTGGTTTTGAATGAGGAAAGGA